ACTCCAGTTCTTTGTGGTATTGTTTGTAGCTGGTGACTGAGCTTCAGGGATCTTTCTGATTGTCAGTTTGTCCTGTGTTCCTCACGGTGGAAGAAAGCCAGCTCCTGTGGATCACGGCAGACGTGTTCCTTCCCTGTGGAGTGCCTGTGCTCATGTTCCAACACAGCAAAACCGTGGGCTCCCAAACAATGAGTGATCACGCTTTGAATTCTCCGAGAACATTGATCCTCTGTGGTTGATATTAAAGCCATTTAGTGATGAGACTGAAGTCCCTTCAATTATTGTGAAAATCTTGACAGTTCTCAATGATTGACTCCTGGAGATTTATTTTTAAAGCAGAAATCTTACCGTGTTGTAACAGCAGGATGATGGTGGATTGTGATTTAATGAGTCACAAGATATGTTATTTTTGAAGAACACAAGCCACCTTCTTGGTAGTTCATGCCACTATTCCTCTGACCAAACAAAAAAGGTTCATTGGAAAAACCAGTATTCAAATTTTGTTTGCAAACTCATCTTTAAGGCCAGAGTCACCAAATACTTGCACAGGAACACTATCCTGAAATAGTTAAGCAGGGACCAGTGGTGGCTAGGGCTGTTGACATAAAGTATTTACTTTGAAGAGAATTCTTAGCATTTTTGCCTCACATCAGCACAACAAGAATTTGCAGGAGGGGGGGCACATTAATGTACTTGTCAAGGATTAATAACCTGCCGGAACATTTGTGGTGGGGAATATGTTATGAATAGTATCATAAATACAGTAATTAAAAGGCTGCACACTAAACACTTTGGACTGGCAGATAGATTCCTTCCGCCTCCTGGCTTGTAGTCAAGTGAGTGGTGTGTTGTTTATCTTGCTCCCTTGCCTTCTTAAGAGTGGAAAAGGGGAATGGCTGTCTCAAAGGGTTGTTTCTGTGCTGCCAGTGCGCTCCGTGGTCAAGTGCAAGCCCAGCGTATGCAAGCTGCTTTCCACTTGAGCCCTGGAAACAAGTGTGTTGGCGATGTCTTGGTCTCAGCATATTACTTACTGTTCATGGACAGAATCAGACTGGAAGGGTCAAGTTACTTTCTCACAGTTAGGGGAAGCAAACAAACCAACCTGTCACTGAGTGCACACTAGTAAACTACCCCTCAGTTTTGGAAGCTCTATGATTGTGATTATTTCCAGACAAATATTACAGTGTTCTGTGCACTATGTGAGACGTGTTCAGTAGGATGTCATGTCTCAGAGCTTATGTGTTAAAAGGGAAGCTGTAGTAGAATTGCATACATATTAGGACAGAAACACAGACTGCTCCTGGGATGAATTTTCGAGGAAGTGAGGCTTGATTTTCTCCTCACTGTTTATCTTGTGGTCCCCATGGGTTAAAGCCAGGCAGGTTGCTGCAAGGTTGAGCATCTGGGAGGAGAGGCACCACACTGTTAGAATGATGAACCTGTCCTTCAGAAGGACAACAAAGCAGGCGAACAGATGTAGTCTCCAACTCCTGTTCCTTTGTCTGCTCAGAATCTTTGCACCTACTTGTTTCCCATTTAAAGAGTGTCTTCCCATAATTTCAGAGACCAACCTTGTGGTATTTATTTATGAATTCATAGACTCTCTTGTGTAAAATGAATGTGGTTGAATGCGATTTACAGTTTTCCTTTGAGTCTATCAGGGTAGGACAGCCAGGCTGTTTCTGTTCTCACTGTTTAATTGGCCTCCTTACCCCTTAGTTGGGAAAATTATTCAGTTGTATACTGGTTTATTGAATCATTCCACATTTATTGCATGCTGACTGTCTTCCATGCTCCAGGGCTACAAAAATGAATGACCCAGTTAGTGGCTTCTGCTGGCTTTGGTGCCAGATCTACGGTGGCTAACCAGTGAAGAGCACATGGTCCTTTGAGGCTGTCACTCCAGTGGTGGCCTGGATGTCATTTCCATATAGAAGAGGCAAACTGTTAGAACAGCCAGAGACTGCTGGGGAGACTGCACATCTGCTCCTCAAGGTGTTTTCCATTGTGTTCGGTTTCTAGTGAACAGCCCTGCTTTTGCCTTTACTAGGATTTATTCCAGTAGCTGAGTTGCTCCATGCATTCCTAATCCTGCAAGAAAAAGCCTGAAGCGGGATGTGTATGGGCAGTTTTAGAGGCTTTGGGCTAGGATGCTCTGGCAGGTGTCACTGTCAACTCCAACCCCACACACCCACCCCACTCTTATTTGCCAGTGTCTGCCTGCTGCTGTTTAGATGGGTTATGCTTTGAGGTGTTGGAATTGCCATGGCTGACAAAGCCTGGAGGATGGTTAGCCATAGCTGTGACTTTAGTTAGTGGAGCTGTAAGCAAACCTTGGGAACATGGGAACATTGACACCCAAAGCCTAAGGTTGTTTTAGCAAGGGCTTTTTGTCCACATCCTTTGCCTATGCTCTGCCTTAATTCCAGCAGTAAATGTGCTTCCCTGCTTGGATAGCTACCAGCAAGTGTGTTTGTTTACCTTTAAGGATGGTTGAATGGTTTTCATTGGGGGTGGTGGCAGGGGCCAAATACCAGAGACCAATAATTACAAGATCTGTCATTTCAACTATTTGCTTGTCGCTCATTCTCAACAAAGCTAAACCAAGCTCTTGCTCTTCCCCCTTCTCCTTCCTTCCTTCCTTCCTTCCTTTCCTTTCTTCCTTCCTTCCTTCCTTCCTTCCTTCCTTCCTTCCTTCCTTCCTTCCTTCCTTCCTTCCTTCCTTCCTTCCTTCCTTTCTTTCTTTCTTTCTTTCTTTCTTTCTTTCTTTCTTTCTTTCTTTCTGTGTGTACTACACAAAGTGTAGGTGCCAATGTATACAAATGTAGGGACCAGGGGAAGACATTGAAAATCTTTCTCTGATTCCCCCCCCCTCTCTCTCCCAAAGGGGTTCTAGGTAAACCTGAAGCTTACTGGCTTACTGTTTTGATTAGGCTCTGCTAGTTGACCAGCGAGTTCATGGGATCTGCCCATCTCTGCCTCCCTTACCCACCCTTGAACCTAGTTTTTATGTGCTCTCTGGGGACTTGAACTCAGGTACGCTGGCTTTCACCCCCAAGTGCTTTTACCAGTGGCCCATCTCCCTGGTCCATTGCCATTTGATCAGTTTTCTCTAATATCCCAATTCTGCTGTGGACATTGTATGACCAGATTAACCTTTATGCTCCTTCCAGTGTCAAGGGGTGTGGAATGTGTCGTCACGGCCAGCTCTTCAGTCTGAACTCCTGTCCCACTTTCCTGCCTCTGGGGAGCTAATTCATCCTGTCTCCCTCTGGTTCTCTCTGCGCCTTCCTTGCCATTCTTCTGATTCCTTCCATGCACAGTTCTGTGTGTCTATGGCACTTAAGCTCTTACACAGAGGTCTGTCCCCTACATGCTCTTCCGCTTACTCTGGTGATGCCGTTTCGTCCCCTGTCTCCTCCTTGCCATGTACGCAGTCCCCAGCCAAGGTGGCCAGTGACTTTTCAGATGTCAAAACCAATGTTTTCACTTTCAGTTGCCTCTACATGGTACTTCTCCGGAGATCCTTGTAGCCCAGTTGTTGATAAAGGATCGTGGTTGGCTTCCTGGTCTGTTATTGCTAGTGCCTGTCTCTTGGCACTAATGGTACAGTATTTTCTCTGCCTAGAACCCTTCCGTGTTCTGTGACGTTGCCTCTGTGTCTCTTCCTCTCTGCGTGAATTTCCTTATTGCATTGTATTTTGTTCTATCTTCTTCCCCAGGCCTGGATCTTCCTATACCTTCCCTGGTGTTCTGCACTTCAGATCTACTGTGGTAGGTCTGCTTGTAGTTCATCAAATTGTTCTCCCTTTAGCATTTAGATGTTTGCAAATGCTAACTGGTTTCATCCCGTGTCTGCTCATGTCCACTCTCTCAGTCTTCACCCTGCCTCCCCTGGCTGCGTGGTGGTAGCAAGCGGCTGGCCCGGCTATTCTCACTGCTCCCACCCTGCCCCTTTGGCTCCACCCAGAGAGACCCAGGCTTAGCTGTGTGCAAGCAGGTCTAGAGATCTCTGAAAGCAGTGCAGAGTTGCCAGCTGGCTGCCGTCTTCTTGGCTGGTCTGACATGGGTGCCATTCTAGCATGCCACCAAGAACAGTAAGCCACATTGTGCAGTTTGCTTCCACTGCCTTTTCCATTGTCTTGACGCCCACCAACTCCGCTGACTCCAGCCCAGCCTTAGACGTGTCAGACACCCTTTGTTCCTGGATGTGTTCCCTGACCTCTTGCCTGGGTTGGAGACCTCTGCTGGATGGCCATCAAGTCATTGTACTCATCCACTGCCCTACAGGGCCCATTCTGTGCCAGTCCCTCTGCCCGTGGACCACTGTCCTTAGAAACAGAGACCATTTTATTCATCTTCTTGCTGAATGCTTGACTTCAAGTAACGGTGTAACCTGTGCTTTTTAAATGAAAAGTTAATGATAGTAAGTTAATTAATGTTCACAAAAAACGTGTAAAATGTGCACATTTTTTACCTTTAGAAGGGAACACAAAGGGGCCTTCTATACAGAGTGTAATTGATGTGTCCAGAAATGCCCCCCGCCCCCGTCTGTCTCTCTCTCTTCCTTTATCACTCTGACATGTAGCCTCTCCAATTCAATATTTTCTTTTTTCCATTTGAGTTTTTAGAGTATTATTGACGGGATGTTAATTCAGGTGTCACGACAACGAGGCAGCCTGGTACCATCCTTGACATTGAAGAAGGGGATGCAGAATCATCCCAATGCTGTGGGATTGCTGGACTTTACACCCCTCACCAGGGATTCTTAGGGACCTGCTCTTTTGTCACACTAACTGAGGGGGCCACATGCTAACCCTCTGCAGGCTCCATGCCTGCCTGCAGGGACAGAGTGATTTCTTCCCGAATGTGGCAATGAATAATTCATAAACATGGTTATCAGGAAGGAGGTGGTCATCATTAGCATTTTAATGAAAAAAAAGTGATCATTATCCTAAGACTGTTTTATTTCTACCTTTTTCTGCCGTCTCCTTCAACAGCTAGCCATCTCACTGTTTCCAGAGTCCTTGGGAGTTCCGGAGTCCCTTGCTAACACACTGACTGTCGCTATGGGCAGAAGGTACCCAGAGGCTCACGGACGTCCAAGCAGCTCATGTATGTATGCCACTGTGAACATGTGTCTTTCTTCCTCCTTCTCTCCCCCTACCTTTCCTTCCTCTCTCTTCTCTCATTATAGAATATCACAGGACACTAACCTGGGGAATGCTTATAAGGTATATGTGAGAATATTCAGAAAGGTAGAAGAATGTTCTGTGTTGAGTTTTTCATATCAGAGAGTGAAAAAGTTACCTAAATTATTATTTTCATAATCAAATAGTTCAGTAATAACAAATGACTCTTTTGTGTTTCCGTTCATACATAACCTTTAAAGTGCTTTCTTTTTTCATCACAATATATAAAACATTTGAAACAATAAGAATACCACAAATTAAAAGCATTTCCCACTGACTGTTTTAATTCCATTAAAAAACAAAACCCCCAAAACTCCACTCTGGTCCTAGAGAGGCCCCAGCTAGTGTCCCTTTGTTTTATGTGTGCGGGTGGAATGGTTTGGTTCTTGTGTCTCGGCATTCTCTGTAGGCTGACACACTGTCCTGGAGATGACTCCCCTTCTTTCAACACTGGAGCTCATCCAGCAGGTTTTGGGAAGTGTTCTCATTGCTCTTCTGATGGTCCTGACCCCCTGATGAATGTATCATTGCAGGAAGAGAGAGGACTACCTCCCATCTTGTGGTCTCTGCCTTTGTTGATGTTCCTCGACTATCTTACGTTTTACTTCCTTTGATCTTCCAGCTGTACAGATAATTCATTTATTTTTATTGCTTCCCTTTGGACTCTCTAGAATTTTAGCCTCAGGGGTGCATTGGGATGTTTCCTCCACACTTGTTTTGTTCCTGTAGTAATATTTATTTATCTTCACTCTGTAGCCCCATTTCCTTGTACAGCTCAGGTTTTGTTTTCTTCCTGGAAAACGTAGAAACCTCTTCGAGTGCTTGTGTAGCAATCCTGGTCCTTAGAAGTGGTGGCGTTTTAGTCGCCTCATCACAGAGCAGCAAGTCGGAGCATTGGGGGTGAACAGGGATCTCTCTAAGAGCTCTGCTTTTGCTGGAGAGGTGGCTCAGTGATCAAGTAGCTGCTCTTCTTGAGGGCCTGAGTCTGCCTCAAAGCAGCCACAGGGTGACTGACACCCATCTCTAACTCCAGCCCCAGCGATCCTTGGCCTCTTCTGGCCTCTGATGACACCAGGCACACATATGATGCACATACATGCATGCAGGGAAAGCACCCACACACGAAATAAAAAGAAATAAATCTTAAAAATGTAATGAAGGCAAAAAGTGAGATTAGCTGCTTTTGAAGAGTGTGCGTCACCAGGGTAACGCGTGTACCTGGGTGCTAGAGAGAGGGACGGACACACTGTGGCCAACGCCTGTGGGAGCCGAGGGTAGAGTTCTGTATTTTTAAACTTTAACATTTCAAGTGGTTATGTAAGTACCTATGTAATCTCTATTTTGTCCCTTACCCTCAAAGCTGAAATAGTCTGTGATCTTGCTTGTGGGTGGGGGGTGGGGATTCCCTACCCCATCTGTAAGGGGAGCTGAAAGGCATAAATACCACTGTTGATCCATGTGCCTTGGTAGGATCTGACATTTTCTTCTTGGCCTACAAAAATGCTAATTTCCCGGGGCCTGCTCAGAAGTGTGGGGAGGGGGATTCTTCCTTCAAATGCTTACCGTTCTGTTTCTCGGGCTCTGAGAAGAGCGGGAGAAACAAACCTATACAGGAGATGCGTGTTTGTGGAAATGCTTTTCCCCCACCGTCTGGGAACAGACTCACCACCTGCCAGCCATGCAGGTTTTTTAGAACTTACTGTAGCCTCCCAAATCACACAGGCCTGTGCTGCCTGTGACTTTCAAGGAAGTACTCCTTCCCTCCTGAGGGATTTCCTACCTAACAGTCTCTAGGACATAACTGTCCCTCCCCCTCTTTCACTGGGCCTCAGGTAGAAGTGGCTTCCAATTGCTGTTCCAGAGCTTCTCCTAAGAAGGTCGCTGGCATCAGTGTGGGATGGGAGTAAAATGAGTGAACCCCTTTTCCAAGGTTACACATCACCTGGAATTGCCCTTGTGGGGAATCTAGAAGGTAGCTCTCACCCTCTTGTTTCCGTTCCAGTCTTTGTTTCTTGCTTTTTCTGGCATCACCCAGTCCCCTGCCTCAGCAGCCCTCTTTATCTATGTGGCTTCTTCCCCATTTTCTCCCTCCCTCCTTTGCTTCTTCCTCATCCTGATTATCTGTGAGGTTTGCCTGTGGATATCTGCAGTTTAGCTTCTAGGGGACCTTAGACTTCTGCTCTCACACAAGGCAAGGAAACTAAGATTATTCAGGGCCCCAGTGCCAGGCCTGTGTCTCAGTCGGGTCATACTGTTCCCTGGGTAGTATTTCACAGAAAACAACAGCAAAAATATCTCTCCTGTTTATAATTTTATCATCAAGTGTGATCAGACTAGCAGGCCAGGGTTGGCAGGGTTGGGTTGTTTTTTAGGCTTTTGTGTCGAATTGGAGTTTTAACTCTTTCTGTCTGGGGATCTGCCCCTCAGCAGCAGTCCCTTTCCCACAGAAGGATGTCCCTCTGTAATGGAATGTGGTGTGGCATCCACTGAGCCTCAGAATAGGAAATGAAGGAAACCACAGTTGACCTTTCCTGACCTTTTAAAACAGTTATTTGTGCTTTTCCTAAGACCTGAGTTTGAAAGTATTCCAGGAATTGCTACTAGAGTTGCACCATAGTTTATTATTGTTTATGCCCAACTGTTCATCTCTTTGCATTTCCGAAGCCACCACTGTAGCCATGGGCATCAGGCCCTGAACTCTTGGATAGTTACCCAACCCCAAGCACTAAAGTCCCTCTGCTCTCAAATTTGATCATACATAGTAGCCAAGTGAATCCCTCTGGGGAATGTCTGTCTCTGATCAGCCCAAAAATCATCCTATTATAATTGTATCATCTACATTTTCTTTTTCTCTTCAGTACCCACTCCCCATCACAAACAGTCAAGGATATTTGTATTATCATTTTTCTGCAGCCAAAATCTTACACAAGGCTTGGAAATACTCCTTGTGGTAATGTACCCTTTATCTTTTGGCCACTATGCTGGCACCCATCCTGTGGCCTCCCTGGAATGACAATTCATCATTTTGATAACTTGCTAACACCCTGCTCTCTTGGGTACAGAAGAGTGGCCCTTTCCTTTCCCGGGGAGCTTGCGTGTGTCTCAGCTGGAAGTACAGACTCCTATAGCTAGCTGTATGTAAGAGGTTTAATCCCTCCAGAAACTGGTGTCCTGATTTCTTCTTCTATATATATATACTTACTGGACCTTGACACTAAAGTGTTCTCTTCTTCCTCTCTTCTTAGCTGATTAATATTTTGTCACAGTAGAACCTCGGTTCTTTATGAAGACATCTTGGGGCAGGGACAAGGCTGGACAGTAACCACTGTCCTTAGTAGGCTCCGTGAGATGATTCCAGAGTGGGATTCTGGGAGCCCATTCCGACCAGGGGCAGCAATCAGGGCGCAGGTGCAGACAGACACCCCCCCCCCCAGTTCACTCTCACTCCAAGGCGGGTGTGCCCCCTTAAGCATGGCTCCTTCACTTGAAATCATGACAGACTCATGTAAATGGTGGGGCTCTATGCTACAACACACACTGTCCTGTATCAGTAGGAAATCTCACACTAAGTCAGTGAGATACTGAAAAGTTGCTCTTAGATGAGGAAGAACTCAGGCTTGCAGACTCGTCAGGGCAGAATGGTGGTTTGAGTCTCCAGTTTTTGGCCCCTCCCATCTTTTTTGCTCTCACAGACTGCCTAATGGCATGTCATTCACTAACGTTAGGTGATGCCTTGACAGGTTCCCCATGTAACCTGAAAGGATTAACAGGAATGAGGGCTGACATCTGTCTTGCATTTCTTTCCTTCTCTGACTAAACCTAGTGACCACAGGTCCCCGGAAGGACCCTATAGACAGTTTTATAGAGAGAGGAGCAGTCCTGGGACTACACTATAAAACATGCCTGGAATGAGGGTTTCATAAAGAAAATGAAAACAGGGAAGTTGGTCTTTGAAGAGACAGGTGACCTGACTGTGCGTGTCAGCTGTGTAGCAGGTGAAACGTAGGACAGATTCCTTGGACTGATGTTCAAGAGCAGCATCCTGTGATGGTGGGAGAGGCTCTCACTGGGAGGTGGGGCCGTAGTCCCAACCCTGCACCTCTATAGCCTAGGCTCAGGGCTGTGGCCAAGTCATCTAACCCAACTTGAGCATCACTTTTGACATCTGTAAGCCAAGGAGCTGGACTGGCTGGTGGGAAAGCACTGGCTCAAAAATTCTTCTACTTTCGCTTTCCAGACAGAGGCATGCAAATGAAGCCTTGCTCTAGGGAGAACCAAGACAGAAGTAGCAAATGTACTTGAGACATAGAACTCGGGATATTAATAGCCAGTGTCTTAGTCGGGGTTACTGTTGCTGTGATGGAACACCATGGCCAGAAGCAAGTTGGGGAGGAAAGGGTTTGTTTGGCTTACACTTCCACTTCGTAGTCCCTTGTTGAAAGAAGTCAGGGCAGGAGCTCAAACAGGCCAGGACCCTGGAGGCAGATGCTGATGCAGAGGCCACAGTGGGGTGCTGCTTACTGCCTTGCTACCTCTGGCTTGTTCAACCTGCTTTAATGTAGAACCCAGGACCACAGCCCAGGGATGGCAAATGAGCTAGACCCTCCTGCATCAATCACTAATTAAGAAAATGCTCTACAGGCTTGGCTGCAGCCCAATTTTAGGGAGGCACTTTCTCAACTGAGGCATCCTCCTCTCCAATGACTCTAGCTTTTGTCAAGTTGACCTAAAACTAGCTAGCACAGCTAGTAAGTAGTGTTTAACCTGGGAATTTTAGCTGCTTAAAATAGCTGCAAATAGTCTGAGACAAAGACCATTTAAATGAGAGCGATCACAGTCGAGTACATATAGTAATTTGAGTGCATAATAGCAGTTAGCAGAAATAGAAAATGCTCTTAGACTGTAATGGTGATCTGGTTTGCT